CCCCAAAACCCCAAAACCCCAAAACCCCAAAACCCCAACTGGATAAAATAAAATGAAGATAAATTATATAAAAATATTATTCCAAATGGAAAGTTCAAAAGAGTTGATTGCAAAGCAAGCACAAGAGAGTTTACTCGATGAAGCCCAGACGAGAGACACTGAATTGAATCTTAATAAAAAAATGGCGCGTGCGATAAATTCAAAAGAAGCCAGGAAAGTCTACTACAAGCACTATAATCAAAGAATATGGTATATGCTTAAAACAGGTTGATATTATGAAGCCTATTTATATCCTAACAAAAGTTGGGCATTGGGAGTTTTATCAGATGCTGAGAATGGGAAGAATAGCATTAGTCATTATGAACTTACTGAAATTCCATTTGATCATTCGACAAATTTGCTCTCTAGTAATGCAGATTTCTGATCGTTCAATAAGCCAATCGAGAAAGGATATATTGGAAATCTTTCTTTCTGGCTAAATCTAAATATACGCTTCTACAGGGACTTGACCTTTAAAATTCTCAGCATGACTACTCTTCATTTCAAAATAAAAAAATTCTCCTTGAATTTAAGAGATATTGCAAAGATCTTAATATCAGGAAGAACTCTGGAGACAATTTGATTTTTTGTATGAAAATTCAATCTTGAAGTCGTCACAAAGCCATTCTTGAATGATAAAGGTAACCATCTACTCATTTTAGAATCTTATCTTTTAATAGAGATAGGATCGTATTAAACAAATTTTTACTATTTATTTATTCAAGAATATTATGCTAAAATTCCTATATGGTTGCTGGGAACCATTTGATTCGGAAAGTTTTAGTAGTATCTAAAAATACTCAAATCAATCAATCTGGCAACTCAGATTTTTGCAAAGATGCTTGCCAATAATACAAAACCAATATAGATCATTTTAAACTAAAGACAAATCTCAGAAAAGTTGAATTTGATGGTTTTTACATTCAAAATTGATCTGAAGACTTAAGTTGTTCCTTATTTGCCTCTACCATTATGAAAAATATAGCTAGCTCTTTTCTTCCTATTACTTTGAAAGAAGTAACATTCACCGACTCAGGATTTTTATTTCAAAGAATTAAACTCCAAAATCAGCCTCCTTATGAAATAACAGGTATTTATGAATCGGATGGTGAAGTCACGATAAAATTTCTTCTCAGTGATTAAATGATACCATTATCTAAGCAAACTTTGCTCAACTCTTTTTCTTGGGAAACTAGGATCATTCTGTCAGATTGGTAGAAGAATAAGCAAATTTTAAGAAATTGGTAAAAATCTGCATCTTCCAAATATTGTTTATTTCTCGACATTTATATGGCTTCTTCAATAATTTTAGTTAACTATCTATCAATGTTCTTATAATATTTCGGGGTTTTGGGGTTTTGGGGTTTTGGGGTTTTGGGG